GTTTCCAAATTTTGGCAAAGAGTCGAGAAACCTTAGACTTGGACTTGCTACTGATGGAATGAATCCGTTTGGCAATCTGAGTACTAACCATAGTTCTTGGCCCGTTCTCTTGATGATTTACAACCTATCTCATAGGATGTGCATGAAGCGTAAATATATTATGTTATGAGTGGATGTTGTAGGGGTTCCCAAGTCTCGTCATGATGGAAGATATGAGGGTGTGGGTACACAAGGTTTAAAAGTCAAGAGCTTAAGTATTGATGTGGTTGTTCAAGCGCATTTGTATATATTGAATAACATAGATGAAGTTCAACCTTACTTATCTGCTCACAAAAGCATCATAAAGAAAAAGTACCCCAAGATGAATGAAAGAGGGTTGTTAAAAGAGCATAATAAGAGTTTCTCTGAGTGGTTTAAACAAAGAATTGCTAATGAAGATAGTGTTTCTAATACAATTAAGTGGTTGTCTTACGGGCCTAAATGTAACATAATAACTTGGAGTGGATATGATATTAATAAAACCTCTTTTTATACAAAGTCAAAGGATGACTGTAGTACCACGCAAAATAGTGGGGTAATGATTGTGGCCGAGTCCATGCACTTCTCTAGTGCTAAAGATAAAAACCCGGTTATGGCATCTACACCGTACTTTGGGGTGATTGAAGAGATTTGGGAAGTTAATTATGTTGTGTTTAAAGTTCCTGTATTTAAATGCAAATGGATTGATATCAACAGTGGTGTCAGAATCGATGAATTTGGAGTTACATTGGTTGATCTTAGCAAGTTAGCTTATGCGAACGAACCATTCATCATGGAATCTCAAGCAAAACAAGTGTTTTATGTCACAGATCCTTCTAATAAAAAGTGGTAAGTGGTTTTACAAGGAAAGGTCCATGATAGTGATGAAAATCATGATGAGAATCTTGATATTTCTGAAACTCATCCTTTCTCAACAAATGTGACTACATTCATTAAAGAAAATGAAGGGGATGATGTGCATGCTATTCGCATAGACCATGAAGAAGGGATATGGGAGGACTAGTAAGATTTTTTGTATAAGTTAATTCCACGTTACTTTATTTTCTAATTGTTTTTATTTTGTGCTTAATTTTATTTCTAATTGTTTTTATTTTGTGCTTAATTTTATTTCTAATTGTTTTTATTTTGTGCTTAATATTATTTCTAATTATTTTTGTTTTGTGTAAACAGATACATGGGTGATTCAAACCCCAATAAAAGAAGAGTTAGAGGTCCCACTTTAATGACACAAATTGACAAAGTTCATCAAACAGGTGAAAAGATAAAGGTCGAGTTTAATGCAAGAACCTATGAATGTATTGGTGTTGGTAAAAATGCTACACATTTCAAGAGTTATATAGCATCTCTTGCTCGACAGTATTGTAGTATTGTGAAAAATGATTGGAAAGAAGTAGATGAAGGCGTAAAAGATGCTATTTGGACTGATATTCAGGTATTTTAAATACAATACTTTATTATATTTTATAATCATATACTAATTAACAACATATGACATATACTATATTTGTAGGCTCATTTTACTATTCCAGAATGTAAAGATCCAAAGAAGGATAGGTTGAAGAAAGAATGGATTAAATATGCGGGAGAGCGATGAAGAGGTTTTAAGACACAACTCACAAATAGATATATTCATCATCCCATAGAAAATGATCCTCCTCCATATGTCAAGTATAACTTTATTACGGAAGACGCATGAAAAGAGTTTCTCAAGATTCGAGATACCCCTGAATTTAAGGTTAGTAGGAGTTATATGTTTTTGTGTGCATAACATTTTTATTATATTTAGTGATTAATTACTTGTTTGAGTTTATAATAGGAAAAAAGTCAGAAGGGTAAGGATAATGTGGCCAAGAATGTATATCCACACGTATTGTCTCGTGGAGAGTATCGCTTATTTGAGGAGAACATTATGAAAGAAAAGTCATCATCGAGAGATAATTCCACATTAGATGATAATGATAGTCCATCTCCACCATCACGCCATGAGTTATGGAAGAGAGCACGACAAAAGAAAGGAGGAGAATACACATCAAAATCTACACAAGAGGTTGCTGAAAAAATTGTAAGTAAACAACGAAAAATTATTCAAGTATCATTATATTTGTGATTGATTAATTGATGTTTTTGCATTTTGTAGGATTCTCTAGTTCAAGAAGCTGAAAAAGGTGCAATTGTTCCGGATGGACGTAACGATATCTTATCATTAGCCATTGGAACATCTGAGCATGGAGGTCGTATTCGTGGTGTTGGAAAACACCATAAACAAGGCACTTACTTTGGAAGATCACGTCAACATATCGACGTAAATGAACAACTTGTAATATTGGAAACAAAACTTAGAGCTGAACTTGAAGAAAAGTTGGTTGAAGAGCGTAAGATGTTTCAACAATCATTAATAGAGACACTTAAGTCTATGGGTTTATCACAAAGCACAGGTGATAATAAATGCATTGAAAAATTGGAAATTATCGATGGAAGCGGAAAATGAAGTTGTTCAGCTGCAAAGGGAAGCACAAAAGAGAGCACAAAAGACGTGGAAGTTGATGATGTTCAGAGATTGTTACTCATGATTTTGAAAATGGATGATAACCATTTGGCAATACAATTAAGTCATTGTGCGAGTGTCTCTAATTTTTATGTTTCAGCTAAATGTATCAGAGAGTTATTGGTGGATTTAGGTCATTGGCTTGACGTGTCTATTTTGCAAATTTGGTGCACGTAAGTACATTTTATTGTTTTATTAAAGTCAATTTATATTAATATGTTATATCTCTCATCAATTTGATTCTAATGTTTATTTTAAAATTATTCAGGTATATTCATCGTGTTTGTCTTGAGAATTCCATTTCAGAATTATATGGATTTATGGACCCTGCTAGGTGTATTTATAATGATAATGTAGCGAAATCTCAAGAAGATGTTAAAAATTACGTACTAGAAAAGTTACGTGATGAAAACAAAGTGTGCCACTTACTACCATTAATTCATGGGTAAGAATTTTTATATAATTGTGTTTTATATTATTTAATTTTGATAACATATATATTTTATGTGACTTTTCTGTTTCCACACACACGTACAGGAGACATTGGCAATTAATAGTCATGTGTCCAAGAGACAATTTAGTTGTCGTATTTTGTTCACTTCATCGGGAAATTGACCATCACACGAAGAAAATTATTACAAAGTAAGTTTATCTTTCATGTGACTTTCATTGACAACTAATAGTTATGTCATTTTTCATTGGCGAGTAAATTTAGCTATGTGATGTTTATCTTTCTGTATTAGTTCTTTTGGGATTCATCAAATGGCAAATGGAAATAGAAAAAAGGCTACATGGCTTCATCCCAATGTAAGTGTGATGTAAATTGTAATTCTATAGTTAAATTTATGATAAATATTCACTAATTATGTCGTTCAATTGTAGACAAGGCAATAACATAACTCTAATGATTGTGGATACTATGTGATGAAAAATATGTTGGATATTGTCTCTGCTAATATAACCGAGAATTGGATGCAGGTACTAAAAATAACTTTACTTTGTTATTTACTTTTTGTTTTTCGACTTAATATGAATTTTTAAAAAATAACTCTATATTGTTATATTTATGTATTATAGGTATTTGATGACCCAACAGAATTAACACCAGATGATTTGTATGATTTGCGACTTCGTTGGGCAAAATGTTTCTTTGAGTTACATGAAAATTAAGTTTATCTTGGTGAGTTTTATAGAATTGTATAAGTTGTGGTTTTTGCACAATACATATGGTTTTTGCCCATTTATTGAGTTTCTTGATTTTTTTTGCTGATGTTAATTGTTATTATTTATTGTCAGGCAATGTGAAAAAGACTTATAAATAGTTGAATATTGTTGTATATTTTGTGAAGAATTTGTAATTGTAAGTTTGTTTGTTGTAATACAATACAAGTTTGCAATACAATTGTTCAATTTGTAAGTTTGTTGTGAAAAATATGAAAACATCGACCTAGATGTGATATATGTGATGTTGGAAAGCTATGAAATCTATATAGCGACATAAATATAGTCGGTGTGATATTGGAAAAATATGAAAAAATGGGTACAAATTATATTTGTACAGGGAAACATCCAGAAAATAAATAATCTATTCCAAAAAAATTTCATACATTTTACATCGGTTATTACTCAAAACTGATGTAAAAACTTTCAAAAAGGGACTTTTTACATCGGTTGGGAGTAATAACCGATGTAAAAAGTTGTGTCACTGGGGACTTTTTACATTGGGTATTACTTCCAACCGATGTAAAAAACTGGATCAATTTTTTTAAAAAATGTGCATAATAACTGTTTCTTACATCGGTTATAATATTATAATCGATGTAAAAAAGGTACTTTTTACATCGGGTATTACGTCCAACCGATGTAAAAAACTGGATCAATTTTTTAAAAAATGTGCATAATAACTGTTTCTTACATCGGTTCTTATATTATAACCGATGTAAAAAAGGGACTTTTTACATCGGTCCCAGAACCGATGTAAAAAGTACCTGATTTACTATATCGCCTGACTTTACATCGGACCCAGAACCGATGTAAAAAGTCAGTTTTACCCGATGTAAAAAGTCATTTCTGCACTAGTGTGCTGTTGCAGTTTGAAACGGTTAATATAAAAAATTATTTCTGATATAATTGCAATAATATGTCGTATTCATGTATATTGTTCTACTCTTTATCTATCATTACTAGTCAGAATCTATAAGTGCACTTAAAGGCACAATCTTATAGGTTCAGTTCCTTAACTAATCGACCCAATGAGAAGCCGAGTCCCCGATTTTATGGACCATTTGAAGTTATCGACGAGATTGGCAGTGTAGAATATAAATTGGCATTACCCTCCATCTCTAAAATACATCCGGTGTTCCATGTATCTCAACTGAAGAAAGCAGAAGGGACTGGAGTTGCAGTGCATACAAGTTTAACAAAGGAAGTGTCGGGAGTAAGGAGACCACTTAATGGAACTGAACAAAAACACAAAGTTCAAGATTAATATAGCATAAAAACAACAGAAGCATGAATCTTTTCTGTCAGCATCATGATAGTTAAATCCACGCCCGTTGCGGTGCAATGTTCCCTTTATCGCCTGTTTGTCATCAGTTTGCTGTCGATAAAGACTGCAGACAGCCTTCATACATAACACCGGATCCTTTCCAAGTTCTGCAACCATGTCAGCCTCGAATTCCCACTTAATTTCGTGCTTTTTTTCCCTCTGAATTTTGGATAATATCTTACCAAAGTTCATGTCATCATCGGATACATCCTGTGAGTTGGAATCCTTGCGACAATCTTGTAAATCTTCTGAGTTATCCGAACCAGGGTCCACATCAGCATTACATCCATCTTGTGACTTGCTAGAAGTTACTTCACAATTAGATACATCCATCTTGTGAGTTGTTGATATCATCATCATATTCATGATCATGATCACTTTCAGACTTGCTCATAACGACATTGCAAGTCCGTTTCCTCTTGGTACTTGCATCAAACAAGACACCGCCACAAAAATCCAAAGTTTCATTGTTTTGTGCAGCATTGTGGTCCAAGTCCTTTTCTTTCTCTCCTGCCAAACATGTTGCAAGAGAAACGTTTCCACTACCGTTGTGAGAAATATCAAATTCATCGTCACTAATATCAATGATATCAATTACATTTACAGAACTAGATTTTGCAGCACTGGGTGTAGTAGATTGTACCATCTTTTTGCAGTTATAATCTTTAGTTATAGCTTCATAACCTGGTTGCATCGTAGAATTCCAACCATTTGTTAACTCAGATATTGCATTCATAAACTCAAAAGTTAAACGTGCATAAATGATACAATAATATAATATAAACGCTAAAACATGAATAAAAGAATGTTGAACAATGCAATAGAAAATGATATATGAAGAAGTTGTACGCATACATACCCCATAAATCTTAATGGAAGGTCGTGTGAACTAGTGTATCCAAAAAGAATGAAGAAACAATTAATGAAACCAAAAACAGAACCCTATAGTAGAAAAAAAACCTAAAATTTTAATAATGTTTGATTTTTATTCTAATTATTTATGTGTTTGCAACTTTAGAGGTTGAGTTATATATTAGTAACGGTAACGGTGCCATCAAACAACAAATTTGAAAGATTTTTTTCATACTTTTATTATTGAATTTAAAGGTACTCCATTGTCGTGTAAATCAATTTTATACATATATTCAACCAAAATTTTTATATTTGCATATCATATCAATTTTTTAAAAATAAAAATGAGATTTAATTAAATATATATCTTTCTTATTAAATAATAATATAAAGTATTATATATATATAATAATAATTATTTAATTTTTTGTTTCGAATGATAAAAATAAAAATATTATTTAATTGTCATAATAATAATAATAATAATAATAATAATAATAACTTATTATTATTATTATTATTATTATTATTATTATTATTATTATTATTATTATTATTATTATTATTATTATTATTATTATTATTATTATTATAATAATAACCACTTTTTAAGGATCCACTAAAAATTAAAATTAAGTAATGTCTCATTGTGAATTCTAAATTGGAATTAAAGTATTTACAAGTGTGTGTTTTTCTAATATTTATAGGAAAATATTTTTTATATTTTATTGAATGTATCTCACACCTTTAAAAATTCAAAAATGTATTTTTTATATTTTTTTATATATAACTTTAAAGGTTGAGTTATATATTAGTAACGGTAACGGTGCCATCAAACAACAAATTTGGAAGATTTTTTTCATACTTTTATTATTGAATTTAAAGCTACTCCATTGTCGTGTAAATCAATTTTATACATATATTCAACCAAAAATTTTATATTTGCTATATCATATCAATTTTTTAAAAATAAAAATGAGATTTAATTAAATATATATCTTTCTTATTTTATATATATATATATATATATATATATATATATATATATATATATATATATATATATATATATATATATATATATATATATATATATATATATATATATATATATATATATATATATATATATATATATATATATATATATATATATATATATATATATATATATATATATCTTTTCTTTCTTTTACGTTATTTTACTTAATTGTTTACTAACGTTTTAACAATTGTTTTTATAGTATCAACAACTAACAAATTATTTTATTTTTTGTTTTGTATGATAAAAATAAAAATATTATTTAATTGTCATAATAATAATAATAATAGTTATTATTATTATTATTATTATTATTATTATTATTATTATTATTATTATTATAATAATAACCACTTTTTAAGGATCCACTAAAAATTAAAATTAACTAATGTCTCATTGTGAATTCTAAATTGGAATTAAAGTATTTACAAGTGTGTGTTTTTCTAATATTTATAGGAATATAATTTTTATATTTTATTGAATGTATTTCACATCTTTAAAAATTTAAAAAATATTTTTTATTTATTTGGAGATGCATTTTCGGATCCTAAAAAGTTATAAAATCTTTTAGATTTCAGAGATATATCTCTTGACACATCTAAATTACATACAATACTTCCCTGAAAGAGCCGGTCTATTTTGTACAAAAATATATCTAAAGATGTATCTTCATAATAACCCTTATTTCAAAATTCAGTGTTTTCCTCTCCATGAATTTTATGAAAATGCATCTTCGAACGAATTTTAATCTATATACTTCGAGCAAGAACCTTTCTCCTTCCTTTTTCATTTTCATTTTCAAAAACACTTCAAAGAGCTCGTGAATAAGAATCAACTATGCCATTTTTGAAATTTTAACGTTACTTCTATCTCATTGCAATCAATCTCAGTGCATTTTATTCACTTCATTCAAGCTTTTGCAAAACAACTATAAATCGGTAAGTTTTCTAGTTTCCTTCTATTTTTGAGTTGTGATGGTAACATAAGTTGTTTAAAATACATTAGTTTGTAATTACATTAAAAATAAGTAGTATATATTGACAAACATACGCATTTGTTTGTATTTGTTGGTGTTTAGAAGTTTTTCTTTATTTTCTTGCACAATTTTAGAGATGTATCTTCGGATTTGACGTCTCCAATTTTAAGAAAATACATCTCTAAATTTTTTTTTAATTTTTGCTTTCCTATTTTATAGAGATATATCTCCAAATTTTAGTTATCTTCATTTAAAGATTAAATTCTAACATTTATTAAATAAAAGACCAACATAAAATCAATTATTAAGTTTAGGAATCATGTGTATAATTAAGTTTAAATTTTAACACTAATAATTATTAAATTAATTTAATTGATAGTTGCACACCGAAATTTAACTGTTGGAGAGTGCGGATTTGAACTTGGCAAATTCTATTTATTCATCTTTTTGATTTCATCACGGACTACTAAAAAAAACGCCCAACACATTTTTTTAAGAGGACAGATTGATCAGTCATCTAGTGTGAAATGGTCTGAGCAACCACACAGGTCGAACTAGTCCAACCAAACCACTATGAAGCCGCCTGTGTCGGTTTATAGATTTGGTTAATGTCAAAATATTTGATACACAGCTAGGCATCAAGAAACAAAAACATAAGAGAGTTGTTATTTTGACACAAAACAGACACCTTATGCAATGCATTCCCAGATAGTAAATAAGCTGTGATAGTCAAGTGAAAAAAGGATCTCTTTGTTCTTGAAAATCTCATATAGTTGTTTGAGTAGCTAAAAACAAGTAATCTGCAAATTCCAACGCCTCCACAGTCAAGTGAAAAAAGGATCTCTTTGTTCTTGTCGATAAGGGCACGCCAACTCAGCTCCTCTTAACAGAATTTGTTGTCATGTAATCTTCTAGATATTTGGGCATGATGCTCACCCTTTTGGCTCTTCTTTCTTCTTTCTTATGCCCAGCTTCTGTTATGCTATCATCAGCTTCTCTCTTCTTTCTTCTTCTAGAGTTGCTGATATCATCATCATCATCGTGAACACTTTCAGACTTAATCATAACAACTTTACATCTCCGTTTCCTCTTGGTTTTTGCATCAAATAAGACATCTTCACAAATATCCAAAATTTCATTGTTTTGTGTAGGATTGTGGTCCAAGTCCTTTCCTTTCTGTCCTGCAAAATATTTTGCAAGAGAGATGTTTCCACTACCTTGTCTATCTGGCGAAACGTTGTGAGAAATATCAAGTTCATCATCACTAATACCAATTACAGTTACAGCACTAGGTTTTGCACCAAAGAGTGTAGAAGATTCTACCATCTTTTTGCAGTGATCTTCATTACCTGGTTGCATCCACCCATTTCATGTATAAAAATGATAATGTAAACCGTAAAACATGAATCAAAAAATAATGTCGAAGAATGCAATACAAAATGGTATGAACTAAGTAGAGAAAAAAAGGAAGAAGAAGTTGTAGACATACCCATAATAGAAGGCGATCTGAAGTTGTATCCAAGAAGAATGAAGAAATAATTATAAAATAAAGAAAAATAAAATAAGTACCGAATCCTAGTAGTAGAAAATATATGGTAATAGTAATAGGATATAATACAAGAGTATCGAAGAAGTTTTCACTTAATAGACCTTTTTTTTTTTCCTGCACAACTAGATAGGTACCGTTGGATTGGTTGATGGAGTGGTGCACTATCCACACACGATAAAGCACTCTCAATGTTACATAATCACGTGAGAGACCAAATTAACATTTATATATTGATTCCACTTAAATATAAATATATAAATAAATAAATAAATAAATCATATAATAGAATATAGCAAGATGAGAATTTGAGTAATTTTAACAAATGTTATGCTATTAGACAACTTACTATTATTAATGTTTCTCGTTTTGGAATATTTATTATATTTGTTATTTTATAATTTTATTTTATTTTAATTTTAATATTTTTATTACTTACTCAGTTTTTTCAAACGTCCTTTTTCATTCTTTGTTATTCCTAATTGGTGACCGCTCAATGCAATTATCCTTTCTCAATGAAACAACCCCCTTAAACCCCCTCCCCATACAATGATACACCAAAATCATCAAAGGTCTCTCAAAGGTTACAACCCATACTTTTCTGTAAAAAACAAGGTTGGACTTTTCAGCTTCTATTACTTTAACGATGCAATCCCTTTAATGCTAATTTTTCATATACCAGATCCCATTCAGTACATCATCAGCGTGAATGGTTGGATTTTGAAGTTCTCTGATTTCAATTTTTTTTCTACTTTAATTTCACCGTGTATAAATATGATCTATTTGTTCTCCAATTTTTCACATCCCTTGAATCCTCCTCTCTGTTATTTCATAATTCTGCAACGGCCGCCGCAAGACGAGACTATGTTACTGAAATAACTCCTGCAAAAGAATTATGGGGTGTTGTTGTTCAAGTGATTCGATTATGGTTTGTGCCTGACATGAATTCGAAGCAAAAATATTATGCTATGGAAATTGTTTTGATGGATGAAAAGGTAGTTAATATTGCTACGTTTTTTAAATTCCTTGCATATTATTTCCTCTGTTTTTGTTCTAATGTTTCATCATTTCTTATTGACAGGGTGATAAGATTTAGGCTTCTGTTCGAAAAGCTTTGTTGCCTCGATTTGATAACAAGATTCGTGAGGAAAATATTTATAATTTTAAATATTTTGGTGTGGCCACTAATGTTAGTGCAAGGTGATGAATTTGAGGAAGAAGAAGGAAGGAATAAATGCTTAAAAGACTGACAGCAAATGATTGAAGGAATTGATTAATTTAAATGTAAACCTAGTACACCTATTTATACACAAATAAGGATGCCACATAGGCCCTAATCAAAACTTATCTACAAATAACAAAATACTAAATTACCCTCTAATACCATCCCGTAATTTAGTAATTTATCAGAAGTTAACAACACCAATTTCATCTCTCAAGCGCAGAAATTGGTCTGTTTTTATTGCCTTGGTCAGAACATCTGCCAGCTGCTTCTGAGTGCTACAGTGCAGAACTTCTAGCACTCCTTTCTGCACTTGACTTCTAAGAAAGTGATACTTCGTCTCAATGTGCTTGCTTCTGCCATGTAGAACTGGATTCTTTGCAAGATTAATTGCAGACTTGTTATCAATCATCAGCTTCAGAGGTTTCTCAACTTCAACCTTCAGATCATGCAGCAGATTCAGAAGCCAAACTGCTTGACAGGCAGCTACAGCACCAACAATGTATTCAGCTTCACATGTTGACATAGCCACAACAGGCTGTTTCTTGGAACACCAAGAAATTGGACCTCCCAGAAACTTAAATAAGTACCCAGAAGTGCTTCTTCTGTCGACTCTGTCTCCACACCAATCAGAATCAGAATAGCTCAGAAGTTCTGATTTGATCTTTCCTCCAGAAGGAAATAACACTCCATATTTCAGAGTTCCTTTTATATACCTCAAAATCCTGACAGCAACTTGGTAATGAGACCACTTTGGTTTGCTCATGTATCTGCTGACTATTCCAACTGCATAACAGATATCAGGTCTGGTATTACATAAATACCTCAGAGAACCAACCATATGTTTGAAGGTTGTAGCGTCCACATCCTCTCCATCAGAATCAGAGTCCAACTTCTGATCCGTATCAGCAGGTGTGATAGCAACCTTGCAATTTGTTAGCTCAAATCTCTTCAGAAGCTCTAGTTCATACTTCTTCTGATGTAAAATGATTCCTTTCTCAGAGTATATAAGTTCCATCCCTAGAAAGAAACTCATTTTTCCAAGATCTGTCATCTCAGACGCCTTCATCAGAACTTTCTTGAACTCAGTTGTTTCTTGTTCAGAACTTCCTGTGAGTAATATGTCATCAACATATAAACAGACCAGAATCATATTACCTTCTGAAGTGTGCTGAACATAAACACCATACTCCATCTCACACTTCTGAAACCCTTGTTCCTTGAAAATCGAATCAATCTTCAGATTCCAAGCTCTGGGCGCTTGCTTCAGTCCATACAGAGCTTTATTTAACCTGTATACCATCCCTTCCTGATTCTTTTTCACAAATCCAGGAGGTTGTGACACATAAACTTCTTCCTGTAATGGACCGTTCAGAAATGCAGACTTCACATCCAGATGTATCAAAGGCCAATTTCTGTTTGCAGCTAAAGCAATCACCAGTCTGATTGTTTCGTGTCTAGCTACAGGCGCAAATACCTCAAAGTAATCTAGTCCAGGTTTCTGAAGAAAACCTCTGGCCACTAGTCTCGCTTTGTGTTTGCCAATTGATCCATCTGGCTTTAGCTTCTTCTTGAAAACCCATCTAACGCTGATGGCTTTCTTGCCTTTTGGAAGTTCTGTCAGCTTCCAAGTCTTGTTTCTTTCAATAGCCTCAAGTTCTTCTTTCATGGCATTCAGCCACACTTTCTTCTTGAGCGCTTCTTCAATACCCACTAGTTCAGAATCTACTAGCATGGCACACTGAATGATTTCTCCTTCAGAATCTACTTCAGTATCATGCAACATGCTAAAATCTGCAAACCTGCTTGGTATTCGTCTGATTCTCTGTGGTCTCTAATCTTGTTCTGAAGCTTCTCCAGAATTCGGAACAATACTAGCTTCTGAACCTTGTCCAGAACTACTTCCTTCAGGATTACCACCTTCAGAGTTACTTCTGGAAACTTGTTCTCCAGACCCCACGTCTTCAGAGTTTTCCCTTCCAGAAGTATAATCACCACCAAATTCTGGATCATCATCAGAATCTGGATCAGAATCAGATCCACTATCAGAGTCTCCCTGAGATTCTGACTCATCTTCAGAATCTTCTTCTTCTGACTCTGACTCGTCTTCAGAGCTTTCTTCAGAAACTAACCCTGGTGTTGGCACTACCCCAAAGTCTGATTGAAGCTTGTTCCAATCCCATGTTTCTGATTCTTTCACAACGACGTCTCTGCTGATTTCAACTTTGTTGGTTTCTGGACAATAAAGCTTGTAGGCACCTGTACTGTGGTACCCCACCAGTAACTTTGATAACAAGATTCGTGAGGAAAATATTTATAATTTTAAATATTTTGGTGTGGCCACTAATACTGGATCATATAGGACCACAAAACACCACTTCAAGTTGAACTTGCAGAATTCCACCGTGGTTACAGAAGTTAGTGCTGAACTGATAACATGTTCCCCTTACTCATTTGTATATTTCCCAGAGATAGTTGGGAAAATTGATATGGATTACTTGATTGGTAAATTTCATTTACTTTAGAACTTCTATTATCTTTGAAATTTGTTTTATAAGTTTTCAGTTTTATTATCTGAATTTTTGTTTTTGATCAATTAGATGTTAATGTTTTATGTCTTATTTATGTTATAGATGTTGTGGCTATTTTGTCTGGTGTTGGACATGAGAGGATATATAAACGGAATGGTGTAACTACTAAGTTTAAGGTCATTGAATTGCAGTCAGATGGGTAAGCTATTTTTAGATGATATGAAACTTATGTACTTTTAAATGTCAGTTATGTGTAACTTATGAATTAAGTGGTTTTCTTATTATTTTCTAAATGTAGCATGAAGCTTGAACGTACACTCTTTGGACCATATATGGATGAGCTTAATGCACACCTCTAATTGGGTAACACCGATACTGTTGTTGTGCTTGCTCAATATCTCAAAGTCAAAATGTATAATGGAAAAATCTAAATGCAGAATGCAATGAACTGCACCAAATTATTGTTCAACCTAAAAACACCTGAGATATATAGTTTCAAACTGAAGTAAATTCTTCATATATTCGTATATTTAGACATGTGTTCAATTTGTTCAAAATAGTTAATTTATTTTCTTCATACTCATGATTTATGACTATATTGTTTTCTTTCATATTAGTGATAACATTGGTTTACCCACTCAGCCATTTAGTTATATGAAGGATGCTTCTGAGATGAGTTTGGAAGAAGAATTCTTGAATTTAAGTCAACGCAAGACTATAGAGGAATTAAAGGAATGTCAAGATGTAATTTTGATTATACTTATATTTCATATATATTTTTTATGTCATGCATAATATTTTATTGTATGATTTCACATTGTGATTCTGTTTTTGTTTATGTAGAACATGGTTTGTGTTATGTTGGGCACAGTCAAACATGTAATTGGTGGCAATAATTGGTGGTATGCTACATGTGTCTGCAACAAGGGAGTTGTTGCAGATTCCAAAAGGTCCCTTGTTGCAGATTCCAAAAGGTTTTTCTGCCCAAAGTGTAACCAGTATATTTGGACGATTGTGCCAAGGTGTTTAATTGTAAATTGTTTCAATTATTCATGACTGACTTATATATTTATAAATTATTTAATGTCATCACTCGTTAAATATGTAGGTACCATGTCAAGCTTAGAGTAACTGATGAAACAAACTCCGCTACTTTCATTCTTTTTGATCGTGATTGTTATTTGCTGACCAAAATAACATGTTTGGACTTGATTGTTGAAATGGACAGGGTGAGTGTTAATGAAAAAAGATATTTTTTACATATTATCAACTATCATAATGTAATACAAATATTTTGTCTGAAACTTAACATGATTATCTGTGTTTTAGGAAGCAGAGCCAGGAATTGTGCCTAAAGTGATTGGTGGCTTTGTTGACCAAACCTTTCTGTTCAAGATAGATGTCAAATCTGATGTAAACTCTGGATTTGAACAGCCATTTCGCATAAAAAAGTTTGTGCTGATCAACATATTATCACTAAATTCAAATCATTTGCAAAGGTCGATGATACTCTATTACATTTTAGTTCATATTTTTCCCGTAACATTAGGCGTTTGGAATTTGTTCATATAATTGATATAGTTGTAAATTTTTATGCTGTTTAGGATTCTATTAACGTTGAGGATGACTTAAATATTTGAATTGTTCAAAGTGATATGGCTGCCGATGTAATTCAGGATTTGAATTCTGTTGTCAAGGTCTCTAATCTATTATACTTTGTTTTGTTATATTTTTTGTGTAATCTGTGGTGTACATTCATATTATTAACTTTTTACATGCTATTTTGTTTAGACTTCTGCTGGAGTTGATGATAATTTGAGTAATAATCATGTTCAAAGTGAATTAGCAAATGGTGTAGGTTGGGATTTGAGTATTAAATTTGATAATGTTGGCGCTGAGGATAAATCTGAAGGGAATTGTGCAGTGCCAACAGATATTGAGCCTGATTCTGCAGATTGCACTTCTATTAAAAGAGGAATTATACAAGTTGCTGGAGATGATGACGAGGCTAACGCAAGGATTATGAAAACCATAAAGATTGAGAAGGAATAGTCAACCTAATTTGTCTGTTTCACTTTAGTTTTTATTTGTTTCTTTTTTGTTTCTGTTAAACTTTGAGGTACTTTTAGTTGTCTACAATTTGTTAAATTTGGATTTGGATTATGAGGGCATTTATTTAGCCCAATTTTTGGTAATTCCATTTGTTTTATGTTTTCATTACTACTGTCATATATATAGAATGCATTTCATGTCGACTTTGAATATGTATCTCAGAAATTAACCTTCATAATGTTAATTGTTCTTCATTTACTTTTTAAACCTCAAAGTCTATGCAACAGTCTAAATGTTGTCTATCAAATTGGTAAATAATATTCACTTATGTTTTGGATTTATATAAAATCTTTCCTTATATGTATGAAAAACTTCAACTCTTTATATGGACTTCAAGGTATGCAAACCATCGATCAAGTATTTTCTAAGTGAATGATAATTAGTATGTTATTTTGCTAACTTTTCTTTTTGTTAAATGTTTTCGCAGATTAGGCTATGAAGCAGCAGGAAATTTGTATTTGCAAGATCTACATAACAAGAATATACATACATGTGTGATGACTCCTTAGTGGTAGTCCTTATTATACAATATTGAATAGGATGATGTAATATCTATTGTATTGTCAATTGGATGTACATCAAATAGAAATGTTAATTTATGAATGTTTTTCCCATTAAGTAATGGTTCTTAAGTTTTGATATGTTTGTTGTTTAACATGTTCACGAATATGAATGGTTCCTAACATGAATGTTACTTATTGATTTTCTAAATTCAATATCGGATTAATTGTCTTGGGTAATACAATCTTCTTGGAAATAGTTTATACATGGTTTAGATAAATCATTAAACAATGTAATAAATGGATTTCTCTATGCTGTAGTACTATATAAGATGACATTACACTGTCTATCACTCTCAAGTACATCAACATCATATTCCATTTTAGTTAAGGTATTTATTTACTTTGTCTCTGATATTTGTATTTATTTAAACATTCTTGCTGTCTGTATTCACATATGTCTTGCACAATCTCATCACTATTATGTTTTGCATCTACCACATATATCACCATATGAATTGTTTCATTTATATGTTTTCATCTCACGTTTGATGTGTTGTTTCTTTTTATAGTGTAGTTTACTTTGCACTGCTGTAGAGTTTATAAGCGTATTACTATGGGTGATAACAGTTCATTTGATTCCAGAACAAGGAGGAAAATGTTAATGAAACACAAGTCATCGCGGCAAAAGAGTACATTCACAAGTATTTACTCATTATGCATCAAAAATCAAACTTTTTATACTTGCTTATTGTAATGTTATGTTGTATACTTTATGAGTAAATTTTTTTACTTTATATGTTGTCGCAATGACCTATGCTCATTATCTGTTAGGCGAAAATCAGTTTCAGTTGAGTTTCTTCTTTATTTTCTTATTTTGCAACTTTTACACAGTTCCTAATAACACACAACTTAGTGAAGCAGCAACCATTTCGCCTGTCTAACACTATTCTGGAATTCTGAGCAATAAACATAAGAGTCTAACTTATACAGCATCATCCCTGGCTGACATTAAATCTGATGCAGGTTTGCCAACTGCATGTTTTGAAAAGAATATACTACTTTTTTCTGTATTCACTATTTAGTTATTTTTTTATTTTATCCATTACAATGTATTGTTTATACTTCAGCAACTTCTAGAAGGTGTAGGAAGATGTTGATAAGAAACAAGGATACCTATGTCATGCAAGATGTAAATGGTTCGTATACCGGCTTTTCTTATTTCCAAATTAACAACACAAATATTATTACACTCTTTAATTTTTTGTTGCAAATTCTATTTGTGTAGGTGTCACTGAGTTGTCATCTCACACTCCTATGTTAGAAGTAATAAATCCAACATCCATAGGTGTTACAAAAACTGTATCTCAACCAACTCATGTTCTTCAATCTATTCCTTCGTTCGATTTGAATTTTCATGAAGAATCAACAGTCGAGACCGTTGTTCTTGAATATAAATATGAATTATTCAACAAATCTGTTTTTGTTTTTTAACATTTTCATTGACATTCTATGTGTCTTTAAACCATTAGGTTCAACCATGAATGAGCAGAGAACAATTTTCCATTCTGACAGATATGCACATGATGAATGTGAAGGTAATCCAAACTATTCAAAACACTTTAAAATGAACAGTGTATAATTATGTATTTGATGGTTTGTTGTATTGTCTTTAAATTGAGTTTAATGTTTTTAACATATATTATTGATTTTGGAGATTCGTTGTATGCATGTTCTTATTGTGGTGCCCAAATATGGTATGAGGAACGATCTAACAAATGTGACAATACAACCGTGAATGTTACATTTTTGCTCTGCTGTTTGAAAGGAACCGTTGAGCTTCCATATGAATTAAGTCCTCCAAATCTGCTACTTAACTTAATGAATGGACAAGATCCGAGGAGTAAATATTACAAATAAAATATTTGGGCTTATAATAGTATGTTATGTTTTACCTCTATGGGCGAGAAGGTACATTCTAACTCGAGTGGAGGTCCAACCTAATTTATTCTTAGTAGTCAAAATTTTCATAGAATTGGAAGTCTGATTCCAAATGAAGGAGTAACACCCAAATTTACCCAGCTATATATTTAGGACACAGAATGAGACATCGAATAGAATTAGTCATTTATGGTATATTCTTAATCTCATGCGTATTATGTTATTATTTTTATATTGTTCAGTTTATACGTGAATATTTTGTTGCAATATTATGCAGATCCAAAGACAACACAGACAAGTTGGAGCAAACTCTGGTCGAAGAAATCATAAAGATGGTGGATAAACACAATGTCTTGGCAAAGTCTTTTAGGAAAGTACGCAACCACGTGCAACATCACAACACATCTAATTTTTTTGAGGTTGTTTAGAAATAAAACAAATGATCCAAGAACATATAATTTGCCCACATGTGATGAGGTTTCTGCGTTAATTATAGGAGATTTTGACAATCTTGATCCTGGAAGAGATATTATTGTTCGGAAGACATTTGGTCATTTGGAAAAAATCAAAGAAACTCATGTTTCATTCCTACCCCTACAATATCTGTTATTATTCCCCTACAGTGAAGACCAATATCATGAAATGATTCTATTGTACCCCAAAATTTTTTTCCCTCCCATTTCAAAAGATCTCCTCATGCTCCTAAGGTCATCAAGTGCTCAAGACTACTCAAGAATGATCAGATGAATCCTCCTCCTAAGCATTGACCTACAATTAGGGTTTTGCTTTTCTCAAAGAAAATTGGACTTCTAATGCCTCAAGGGGATTTAATGGCTTCTCACATGCTTCAAGGTATCCTCATGCCAAGTTTCAAGCCTCACATCACAAATTTGCTCAATCAATTAGTCAGATTATTGAAAATCAATTTTATTGGACAAAAAGTCAACTATGGTCAACATACAGTCAAACTTCAAGATTTTTGGTCAACATCAACATTTTTAAGTCAAACTCATCATTTTATCAAGGGTTGATCATGATTCATCAAGAAAACTCAAGATTCATCAAAAGTCAAAAGTTACTAAATTAGGGTTTTCTTTAGGAGAAGTCAACTGAACTTTGACCAATCATAACTTTCACAACTTCATCAAATTTTTCTTAACCAAATTCATTTTGAAGGAAATTAAATTCTCTACAACTTTGTCTCTCTAATCTCAAGGCCAAAAAATGCTTCATTTGAGAGATATGGGCCAAAATATTACAGGTCATTTTAAAAGTCAATAAAAAGACACTTTTTATCAAAGACATTTAAATCAAGATAAAATCTTCAAATACAAAAATGACCAACATAAATATTGTATGGGACATCTTGATATTTCCAAAAAGTCCAAGATCACCTTCATATGATGAAAATTGAGTGAGATATAACTGATGTAAGTTGAGCAATTTTTTAGAAATGCATGAAACCCAAATTGAGCAAACTTAAATTTTTGGGCTAATGGGCTTATCTTTTAGAGTCCAAACGTGTTCTTGACCTCACAGTGGACCTCTAAATATATTCATACACCCTTTTAATTTTTTATTCCATTTATTTTGATTTTATTGATTTAAATTCAAAATTAAATCAAATAAATTTCAAAGGGGGGTGTGAGGCATAAAAGAATTTTGTTTCAAATATTATGGAGGCTCAAAGATATGTTGTAAACCGTGTAGGGTTATTTTCAAAAAAAATCTTCATGTTTTATCTTATTCCAATTCTATTTTCAAACAAGAATCAAAGGTTGTTTTACAAGAGGTCCAAGCCCACCTTTGACCTAATCTAATCCTCTTATAAATACCCTACATGTTCAGACAACAAGAACACGAAAAAAGTTGTTCAAAGAACCCTCTCAAAACCTCAAATTTTTTCAAGAATAAGGAAAACACGAAACCCTAGTTCCATCCTTTCTCAAAGTGAACCATCCATTCAAATCAACTCCTGGGGTGTTACAGAGTAAGTCTTGATCATTTTTGATGATCAAAAGGGCCTGAAACACGCATCCCATGCATCGCCAGTTTCATGTTTTGTTTAAATTTGTATTTTGATCTTTCACCAATGATTCACAGCCCTAAAATTAGGGGGTAGGATCTTTCTTGATCACTAACATTTGTTATTTTGCAGGTTATAAACATCACCTGCCGGAGAAGACGACCGGAGCTAGGGCTCCGATGCTTCTCCAGTGCATTAATTTTGCTTTATAATATATTTATTTCGTTTCATTGGATTACCGTATGTAACAACCACCCCAGTGGCAAGCGCGCGTACAAAGGAACTTCTTACTTCAAAGGCGTGGGTTCGTTCCCTGCCTTTTGCAATCTTTTTTGTTATTTTCCAATTTATGCAGTTTTTCTATATAATATGTAGTGTTGATTTCCTAACACAACCAACACATTGATTGGGTGGCAAGCAAGTAAGTATGAAGGCTGGAGGGTGTGGGTTCAACACCCACCCCATACAAATCCTTTTTCTTGTTTTGACTAACCTATTTTCTTTTCTTTTTAATTACTAACCCTAATTTTTTCCTTTTCTCTTAATTATTTTCTTAATTAACCCTTAATCAATTTTAACCCTTTTTTAAAACCCTAATAAATTAGGTTTAGGTTTTTAATCAATAATTAATTTTGACATTTTTTATTTACTAATTAATTAGGTTAATTAATACTTTCTTAAAATTAAAATTAATTAGACTTTAGGATTTTTAATAATTAAAATTAATTAGACTTAGGATTTTAACTATTTAATTAACATTAAATTAATTTCATAATAAATCACATTCAAACATTTTTTTATTATCTATTTTGCAATTTATTTTCTTAGAGAAATTGTATAGGTCGTACGATTCTTGTTATCGTCTAGATTTATCTTTCCATATTTTTTCCATTATGTAACTGCTTACGGGATGTAATAATTTAGGGTTTAATTTCGCACTTTATTTTCCGCATCTTTTTCATGTAACTGCCCCAAAGCTCTGTAATAGCTTAAGATTTACTTTCTACACCTTTAAGTTTCTGTATACATATTATACTGCTAGTAATTAGGCATGTATGGCAAGATTAAAATCAATCGATAGATAACCCTAATACAAGATAAATAACTGAACTGAACACGCTATTCACACTCGCACCTCTAGGGTAACCTCCCTTTGTTGCCTTCGGAAACATGGTCATGTCCCTCGAAAGTAGGGATACTTTAGGAAACGACCCTCAGATAAAGATCATAGTCCCTCGATGACCATTCGACGTTGCCTACGAAAAATGATCTAGTCCCTCTGATAAGTTGCTAAAGTATCCCTATATGTTGCCTTCAATGACCATACAAAGACCATATGCTTGTCCCTTCACATCCAATAGATGGGACTACCTACCAATTAATGGTATGGGTAGCACTGTCTCTAAAGGAGGAGGAAAATAATAAGAAAGCCTTTAGTGGGTAAGAACTCTTAAATTCTTGCTCACAACTCAAAACATTTATTACACTACACTTGTCAAACAAATATTTTTTTCAAAACACTTTGTAAACATTCTTGGGGATTGATACAATAATTATTACAAAGTTAGCCTTACACTGGAATTTCAAAATATTTTCAAACAAATCGCACACACACAAAGCAAGTTTTTTTTTTCCAAAGTGAGCTAGCGATTAAGAGCCCGTAGATAACTACAGATGAAAAGGGTGATAACACCTTCCCTTTTCATAACTTACCCCCGAACTCAAAATCTATCAAGGTTTTTCCTGTTCTTTTCACCCTTTCCTTGTTGGATAAAAGAAAAGTAGGTGGCGACTCTAGCTATCCGCATATTTTGAATAAAAACCAAAAAGTCAGTTCTTCCACCGTATTACAGAACTAGCGACTCTGCTGGGGAGATACTAAAAAATGAGGGGTTACCTTAGGGTTAGATCATTTTACTTGCTTTATTGTTTGCTTTGTTTTCTTTAAATTTAAAGGGTTTGCTTGGGTTTATTACTTGTAAGATCCTACACCCGGATCTAGGGATGCCTTAGGTAAATAACAATAGATCATGAAAATTGTACGGTGTAGACCGATATGGTTTAAGTGATGGGTACGGTTAGTGCAATACTTTGGATTGTACTAATGTTCCTTGAGTCAGTCGAGGATAACATTAGGCTTCCGTGTGGTGTCATTAGCACTAAATAACTTTTAGAACCTTAATTGGCCCATCTTTTCCATTAGAAGGTAGTGAGATGGTCGACTTTAGTGTAGTCCAAGGTTGGTTGATACCCGATGCTACACTCATTGAGATTCGACTCGCGGGATGTTTTGGTGGCAAATCAGTTGCTGTAATAAAATAAAACCTTTGATAAAGATTCGTGATATGAGATTTCTAGAAACCAGTTACTATTTTAGGATAAGTTGAGCCAGCTTAACTTCAATAGAGAAGGGTACTTACCTATGGACCTCATGCAAGCCTTTAAACCTAAGGCTCTTGTATGGTTTGTTTGTGTTTGCTACTTGTTTAAACATGAACATAACATCATGACATGGCATTTTTACTAA